GTCACTGAATCCTACACACTGGTACTTTAAACACTGAAGAGGAGAGACTTTGGCTGACTGTCAGTTGCTACATTATGTTTATACTACTGTAAATATGAACAACTAAACTTAATAAGGTGGGAGAAGTAGAAATAGACAGATCAGGAAGACAAAAGGCTAGGAATAAAGGGAAGAAACAAAAGAACAGAGGAAGGGAGAGAGATAGATTAATGGGTACCTGAATATCTCAAAACCATGGTCCCAAAATAACATATGAATAGACTATGGTAACCATAGACAACCTATTTCACATCCTGTTTGCATGCAGTGGAACCCATTTACCTTTTCACCTCCTACCTTCTAAAACACCTCCAATACAGTGCCTTATTTCACAAAGAAATATAATATGCTCGCAATGCTACTTCAATAAACCAATTTACAGTAAATCTGTTTCCCTGTATAAAAATCACATTTTGATTCAAAGGTAATGAGTTTTCTGGTGACCGTGCTGTGTGGTTAAAATTATGATGAGCCATTACTGTATTTATAGGTGTAGCCTTCACACTCGAAAGGCACACACACTCGCAAATACAGGGAGGACCACAGTGTGTATAGAAACATACATAGCGCGCGCACACACACACACACACACACACATTCCTTTAACGTATGCTTTACTGTTCCAATATTTATGGCTGCGTTCCTCTACTCATTTTAGACTTTTTTGCAATTTCAAGGATCGTTTCCCTGGCGACCACAAAAACCATTACATCACTTTTACATTACTCACAGCTGAGATGGTTTGTGGCTGAGAGTGTGTGTACATGAGAGGATATTGAACTGTATAGTACCATAAGGCGTGATAAAACTGAAACTGTCTAACAATATTCTCTGATTCACTTTGATTCAGACGTTTACATTTAGTTAATCAAAATGTGCCTCTCACCGTTAACGCAGGTGACAGGGTTGTGTATCACGGTAACTCAATGTCGTAATTTGATCCTGACAACACTCAGTGTAAAGACAACAAAAGCTAACTTATTCTGCAGACCTTGCATGGAGAGCGCCTGCATGTAGTGCATGATGAATATGAGTGAATATGAGTGTGTGTGATCTAATCTTTGTCTGTGCTCTGTGGTTGCAGCTGGTTGCTATGGAGAGAGGCTAAAACAGCTAAGGCTGAGGTTAGACATTATTCTCTCCACATAGTGCTCTCATAACTCTCTCTCCCTACATGTCCTCTTTGCAGGTTAACTACATATTGTTTGTTTTACAATTTATGAATTAAAGGTGGATTAATTGCAGGCTCACAATGACCTGTTGATATAAAAAAACAGAGTAATACACTCATAATCTGTTAACAGAGGTCAAGGTTGTCAGACAGAGCAGCACATTGATCAATGATGTAACATGATGTAAGCCACTTTTCTTAAATTTACAGCTTGGTTTTGCGGGCACTTTAGGTTAGTATTTTTAATATTCTGTCTGAGAGAAAGCGGTAACATCAAGTAAAAGAGAAAAATGAAAATTACATTTAGTTATTTTCCCTTGTTCCAGGGACAATAATGGAACAATTAGGTTGGGTTGGGACATAATGCTTTTGGGGTCACATCACAATTATCATGATGTTTTAAGCATTTATTCTGTGACAAGGTTAGACATCATAACTACAAAAAACACAACCACTCACACAATTAGAAATATTATTAACATGACACTGGTAAGTGTGGTAAATAGTCAGTATGGAATGATGTGCAAAACTACAATAATAAGTCATTAAAGAGATACAAAAAACTATTCTTCTTTAAGAATCAATAATGCAACAAATCCTCAGTTATAGTGCAAAATCAGTCAAAGATAGGACTATTAGATCAGAATAAAAGAATTACTTTATATGAAATATAATATTAGGCTACAATATTAATCTGAATAAAACATTACACAGCAAAAGCTGCATATTTAATGCAATGGTGTATCATGTTGTGCATTATCAGAGGCTAAATCCTGGAGAGGAATCTAAAGCTAAACTAGACTATGCACACATGGAAAAAGGAATATTAACAGATGGGTACTAGAATCAGTAGATGCGAACATGTTAACCTGAGTAATGCCTTATTCTGATTACTAATAAACAGATTCAGCATTGTTCTGCGTGTTTGTTACATATATGGTAACTGTCCTTGCTCCGCGCTAGAATGCCTGCCTCCACATCCCGCTGCCCCACAAACTGCCAAAATAAGCATACACACACAGGCTTAAGAGGCCCACATGAGACATAGGGAATTCTGCACCCCTAACACTTAATTAAGCAGAACTCATTAGTGTATGCATGTGTATTATGCGTTCAGTTGGATCTGCCTGAAAAAAAAAGAAAAAAATATGCAAGTGTGTTTGTAGCCGCTTATTTTTTAAGGCCATGTGAGTATGGCAGTCTATGAATGTCTGTGTGTGTTGTGTGCATGTGTGTGTTTGTGTGTGTTTATGACCGTGACCCTGTTTTATGCAGGCTTTTGTACTGGGCTAATGATGGAGCCTCTTTACACTAACTATATCTGTAGGAGCCTTGATCTGGATTAAAATCCCAGATTTAATGAAGGAAAAGTAGGACACAAACACGCACATGAACATCAGTGAACATGGATGTAGACAAACACGGACATGAAAAAGCAATCCTCACAACTACAAAACATACATAGGTGGTAGTAGTACTAAAGTTACAATCACACACAGCCACACACACACACACTGACCTGCCATTGAAGGTGTGTTTGCCTTGGGGTCGATCTACCCCTGCTGGCCTCTCCACAGCGGGACTGGCTGCCTGCAGAGAAAACACACACAACACCTTCCTGTTAGTCAGTGAGTGGCATTTGGAAAAGAGACAATATAAGGAGCAGAACCACAAGCTTCACATTGGCTGAGAGTGGAAGGCAAAAAGAAAGAAGAGAATGTGGATACAGAGAGACATGTGAATGGATTTACTAATAAACAGCGTAAAAAAAAAACACTGACTAGGTGGAGAAATTAAGGAACTCCCACTATTTTAATTTTGGCTTTTGCTACACTACACTCAAAATGAAATCCTGAGCTCAATGAGTACGTCTCTGCAATCTGAAAGACAGGGGAATACATGGGAATGAGTGAAGAAGCTGCTAAACTGATGGATGGATGATGCACATATAACAATTAATATGTTAAGACAAGAAGTAATAAATAATACTGTCAATGGGCATGGCAACAGAGAAAAAGAGAGAGAGAGAGAGGTGTGAGAAATAAGAGTGTAAATGTGAGTCAAGGGAGCTGTAATAATCACTTCATACAATGACATAGGGCTCACATGAACTGTGTGTACATGTGTGTGTTTGCGTTAGAAGCACAGAGAGGTTAGCTCCACAGGGACGAGGTTGCATGCCCAACGGTATAGGTGATGAATCATCTAATACTCGACATGTGACAGTGTCTGTGCGTTAACATTCCTGCGTGCATGACAGCATACATGTGCTTTTGCAACAACCTATCAATGCTATGTTTGTGAGTCCACTGTAACATGAATAAATGTACAGTTTATATAGTTTGGTTCGGCTTACTGGGACCCAAAGTCCTGATGTCACTTCTAGGACACCTAGTTTCTGCATTTCAAGGCAAAATCATTGAGGGGTGCTTTTATCTAATTGAAAATGTGCCTGTGGTTAATTGTGCATATTCTAAGATAAATAAGACATTTGTTATTTGATAGGACAGATCAAGATTCAAAGCAAAGGGGGAGGGATAGAAGGGATGACATATAGCAAAGGGGTCATAGGTCAGACTCAAACCCATGGCCGCTGCAGCAAGGACTCGGCCTTGGTACACAGCTGCTGCCTCTGCTACCAGGGCGACCCTCAGAGTTACTTTTTAAACAATTACTCTGTTAGCACTTTTAAAAAACTAAAGCTTGATTAAAATTTGACCAGCGAGCAACACAAATGAAAAGTAACATTTAAAAAGTACCATCCTTATCTAGACTAATGTGATGAACTGCACCACATACTATTGAGTGAGGTTGTTGCTATTGGCGGGCTTGTTGTAATGAATGTGTGCCATACTGAAAATCAAAAGAACATTGATAAAAGAGCAAAATAATAAGTACCCTTGACTCTGATTTCAATTATTCAATTATATTATTTTGAAAATTAAAGGACTTTTCTGCCTCAAGCATGAATTCTGACATATCAGAATAGGCAAAATAATTGGAATAAGCATTCATTCCTAATCTGCATGTTCAAATACACATGTGCATATCTGAGCTTATGCGCGCACATGTTTGTATGAGCATATGCAGACAAACACACACAGGTCAATAAAGATCAATGTTAGTAGTAGGCACTAATGGACTCTTAACATGACCTTTCACCTTTGACTTCTCACCCTATAGCCATATGACCTACACCACCTGTCAGAGAAGAGGAGGGGGAAGGACAGAGAGAAAGCAAAGCAAGACAGATGAGCAATGAAGAGAGAAATCATGAGAAAGACATCAGAGAGCTGACAAGACTCAGGCTGGGCTGAGAAACATGAAGAAAGAAAGAAAAAATCAGAGGCAGTGGCTGATGAGGAGGAGTAGGATGAAGGTGAGAAGAAGACTCAATAATGAATGACAGACTGCACATACTGTAACCATATGTTTGGGAATTGGTGGCTTGGAAATCAATTAGTATGGCCTAACTGCAGATGCTGTCATATGAGCATAATTACAACAGGATGACAGGTAACATTAATTATCCTAACCTCTTTGTCATAACAACAGCCACTCATACATTAATTGGAAAGTCTTTGGTGCTTAATTGTACGTCTCATTTAATAACTGCTAGTTCTCTCTCTCCTCCTCTCTTCTCTCTCTCTCTCTCTCTCGAAGTGCTTTGTATTAATTACAGGCCAGCAACGTACGTTACTTATCAAAGGGTAATTTAGAACACGCAAATGAATCTGAACGCATACATGGGTCTCATTATTCATATTAACCTTATAATATCATAGTAATATAGCAAAATATACATTTTGTAATAGTTAGGTGGCTTGTTCTTTATTATTTTTGCTTGAAAAAGATTCAAAATTTATTATTTAATTTCCTAGCCAGTGATATTCAACATGTCTACCAATTACACATACCGAACTTTCTGCGGTAGGGAAACTGAACTTGTTTTTATGAATTAGCTCTGTTACATAATACTAACATTTGTTTCAACTTTAGAAACATTGTGCATCTTTAATAACACTGATTATTAAAGTAATTAATAATACTACTAAATCAAAATATAAAGTACCACAAACAGCTCTATACTGTTTCTCAATGAAGTAAAATCTAACTGGAATTAAAAGACTTGATGCTTTATTTGAGAAAAAATCAGAAATATATCTATTAAATTACAAAGATTTATGAGAAATATAGAGGACAACTGCGGGGGGAAAAAATTAATGCATTAGTCTGCCGACCTTGGACAGCTCAATCGATACTTGGGAGCATTAGTGGCCCTCCAAAAACTAGAGAACACAGAAGCAGAATTTCCATTTTAACTCAATGATGGATAATCCTACCTTGAATAACTATGCTTATAATAAATGGGCCACAAGCATTTAGTCTTCTCGGCCCAATCCAATAATTGCTAAAAGCGGAGAAAAAGAGTGAACTATTAGTGATATTACTAATTACTGAATAACCAATTAAGCTAAGTGTTCCCTGAAAACACTCCCAGAGTGAGTATGATAAATTAACAGTAATGCATGCGGGAAAGTTTGTGTGTTTGTGTGTGTCTGTATGTTGTGATTTGTGTGTGTGTGTGTGTGTGTGTGATTGATACACCTAAGGTAATCTATCTTGAAATATCTCTTTGGACATATGGCTCATGAATTGAAGTGAATGTGCGCTTTGACAAATACCATGTCCAGGGGCCAGAGGTCTGGAGAAGTAAACAAATAAATAATAAAAATATAACATAACACAATTTCTATTGAATACATTTTGTTCATTTGTTTAGAATAGCAATGGCTACACCTCTTAACTTCCTTATAGGACTCACCTCCTATTACAGTTTACCAGTTTAAGGACAAATGACACAAGGACAATGTAGCATGCTTTTATGCTTGTTTTGATTTTCTTTTTTGCTTAACTAATTAAGTAACAATCAGCATAACAATCAGTAAATGAAATGCTCTCAGAAAAAATAATAATTATGTGGTTCCTGTGGCTGTCACAGGTCTCTAACAAGCTCATCAAGCTGGCCTACCTGCCTGTTTGCTTCTATTACTTTACTGACAAACATACAAGCAGACTGAGGGCAAAAAAGCCATCACACACAAAGAGATGAACACACACACCCAGGTATAACATGATAAATAAGGGCTGTACAGCCTTATTAGCCCCAGTGGTATTCTAGGCAAGAACAAATACTCCCAGTCTGATTAACACATTGTAATTAACCAGCAACTCTGCACGTGTGTGTGTGTGTGTGTGTGTGTGTGTTGTAAGCATGAGAGGAAGAGAGAGGATTTTTGTGGCATACTGTACTCATTTGTGCCTGGCATTTAGAACGGAAGAGCTGCACCAGTAAATCTTTCTGGATTGAAATTAAATAAAGAGAGGGGACAGAGAGTAGGAGAAAAGACAGAGAGAGAAGAAAGACAGAGAATTACTGCAAGAAGAGTACTTTCTTCCCCTCATCGCTCTCACCAAAAGGCCAAGTGACAATTTGAACAATTACCCGGAGCCATTACCTCTATCTGAACCTGGCTGGTTGAGAAGAGACAGACCTATGAGCAAGTTACTAAGTGTGAGTGTGAGAGTGTGTGTGGGAATGAGTCTGTGAGTGAAAGAGCGAGGGACAGTAAAAAAACAGAAAGATAATTCCTTTATTTACAGTAGTCAGAGTCATTTACCACTAACACTTGTGGTAGTTATTGCAGCACAGCAGGTGTGAGACTGAAGAGCACAGACAGAGGAAAGATGGGAGGCACTGACAAGCATCAAGCTGACAGAAAGAAAAACAGGGAGATTTTTAACACTTATGTTGTAATGACTGGACTGAACTATGTAATTTATACATCGCCACTGTGAATACTCCTTTTCTCCCCAAAATAAGACGCATCTGTTAATATACTGATTACTCGCTGGATATAATATAATCACTCAGTGCTGCTATCAATATGACAGTGAAACACAGTGCTTAATATAAATCAGCATGAACAAATGGAAAAAATGAAGAAAAAAAACTACTGAGTCGATGCAAGAAGTTCCTGAGTCCTCAGTCAATTTTAGTACATACTAAGGTAGATAACGTTGTAACCAAATACATAATGCTCCTCTTGCACTGCTAGCAAACTTAAATCAGTGGTTGCTGTTGTACATGTGAGAAATTATGACTAGATAGATTTCTTGTTGACACTTGTTGGATGGTAAGCCCTCATTTATACAACTTGTCCGAGTTAAAATTATTCACAAGTGGAGGTCTGAGTAGTGGGAAGGATCTGATTGCTAAAAAATAAGGGGAAATTACTGTCTGCTCTCTTTCAGCATATTATTTAATGCACCAGAATAGGCCAATCACAGCAGGAATTTTTCTAAAGTTATTGGCACTATTGTTATGACTCCACTGTCAAAATCTCTAAAATGAACTCTCCAATAAAAAAGCTTATTGTGACTGAGCAAAGGCTGACTGGTGAAGCTGATAATTCCATGGTTGAAGATAAAGCTTTCAAATGGTCAAAAGATGGTGGCTCAAAGTTTGGAGAGATGCCCAACTTCTCTTTCAAACGACAACACATTTTCCAGCATGATGTTTGTTAAGCTAATTTCACTTAATTTGTGGTTTCTTGGTGACTAACTACAAAACATGTGAACACAGCTTGCCTGAGAATTATCGCATTTCTAAGTTTTCTTCAGTATCAAAGGCAGTGGGACATTTCAAACAGGATAAGCTAATAGCCAATTCAGCATGCTATTAACGGAATTAATTTGAAAAAATAAAATACAGGTTAAAAAAAAAAAAAAAGGGCTCAACTTGTGGCCCACAGCTAACGAACAGACTAGCTGCATGTGCCTATGTGTATTACACGATATAGTGACATTTCAGTCACACTAGATTTTAAATTAGTAATATAAAGAAAATATTTTAACCTATTTTACATAATAGGCAAAACAATGTATATTCAAAACTTTTGCAAAAATATCAGTTAATAAAAAAAGTAAAAGTAATTATGAATGACTTTTCCAGAAATGTCATGACTGTGGGAACCCTGCTAATATGATAGCTTCTTTTATCTTGGACTTTGTTGACTTTGTTCCCTCCTTATTAACTCTACATGAAAACTCTGTGTCGGACACACAGCTGAACCTATTTTATTACAAAGCTATAATGGTTTGAGTTTCAGGCAGTGATAGCCATTTAATACAACACTGTGTAGATTACTAACCAGCACAAAACCATGTAATAGTAGTTTTAATTCAAGTCTACTATAACTATGACTGAAATAAGTTAGAAAGCAATTGTTCTGATCAAAGCTGTAATGTTATGTGTAAAATGAGAAAGCATGGACACCCGAGGAGCGAGTATGGAGTGTAATAAAGCGAGTCCACAGCTGGCGTGCTTGAGGTCACATATATGCATGCTATCATGCAGGTGCTCGAACAGATAAACACCCAAACGCACAGTCTGGACAGGCCTACTGTGTAAGTGACACCCAGGAATATTTGGAATCCGACAGCCACAGGAGTGATAGTGTGCAGTGAAAACTGAGCTGAGATGTAAGGAGTGCAAGGTGGGCTCAGAACAACATGAGCTACACTCCTAAGCTTTGGTTTACATTTCACCAGAAAAAGTAAATAGATTAGTGTTGGAAGTTTACATTTATTAGTGACAAGTCCATGCAGGTTTTATATTTGATAAACTGTGTTTCATGTAGCTGTAGGTTGCTAATTAAAACAGATTGTGGGTCTTCTTCACAAGCTTTAGGCTGCAGGGATGCATGGTTGGATAAAATCAACAAATAGTTAACAAGAGAATACACCAAGCATTTTTTTGTTAAACTTTGTGGCAAATACACCAGATATATAGTCAAATATGTTAAGTCAATAGAAATGTTATTAGTACGCAGTGTATATTCCTCCCTATGCAGCCCCTCTTCATATTTTCTCTTAAAAACATGATCTACTACTACTTCACCAGCCTCAGCAACGTTAAGCAGGGAGAGTGGCCACCTCTGAGTACCAATCACATTCCCAAAAGAACTGAACCCTGCATACATGTTGCTCTACAGGGAATACGGTGTGGATAGAAAAGGATGTTTGTCCAGTGAAGAATCTCAAGGGAAGAGGGCTCACCACTCAAGAGTCCAATCAGGCGTGGAGTTCCTTTAAGCAGTGAACTTGAGGGATTTGCTGTGTCCAACTGTCTATAGGGAATAACTGTAACACTATCATAACAAGCAATCAAAACTACTTCTCTACGCAACTGACACACTATCATGATAATATCTATTACTATATAAGTCACTGCATATCTGTGTGCCTGACTGTGACTAAATTAGTGAAAAGGTGCACATTTGTGTAAAAAACACATAAGAAGTATCACCTGAGAGAAGAATAATTGGTAGGGAAGATTTGTTAAGGAGGAATAGGAGAGTATTTTGTGTTTTACTTTCATAGAATGGACAGAAAAAACATTTAGGGGTGATAATTATGTAATACATCTATGTCCTAACTCCTATCAGTTATTAGAGAATGACATCTGTATCTGTTGTAGTCATTTCACTACATCTGGATGCTCAAAACTCACCATTGTCCCTTTTGGATGTTATTTTACATCATGTGACACCAAAAAGTGAGACTTGCAGAAGTAAGAAAGGAGGAGAGTAAGAGGGGGAGGAAGAAGCAGATAAGAAAAGGGAGAAAAGGAGCACGTGTTTGCACTTTGCCCTTTTGAGAAAGGGAGTGAAAGGGTGAAGAGAGAGAAGAAAACATGGTGATTCAGTCGTCCATCTTTGTTAGTGGAGTTTGATGTGACAAAGCATGTCTGGATTAGGAGAACATGAAGACACCGCAGGCTCCACTCACCCCCAAACCTTAAACACATATCCACTACACACATAAACAATTAAAAAAAAATAATACTGGCATATTTCGGGATTATACTTACAACAAAATCTTCTTCTTACTTGTTTTATCAGATATTTAATTCAATGTTAAACTGGTTGGCTGTGATAAAAATTACGTATTTACTTTTTTTATATAGGTATGAGAAAAGACAGCAGTAAACTAAGTCATACTTAGGTTTTGCTCACTTAACAAATCTAATCACTGATCATCTGATATCTATGAAATTACTGTTAACGCTCATCTGAATGAAAGTTTCTCCCCAATTACAAATCTGTACATTATGTACAATATATGGCCAGTATATGTGAGGCTTTCTGAGATACAGAACAAGGCCTGATACAAATGAAAATCCCATATTCTTTATTTCATTATTTAGGCTCACTACAAATCTTTGGTTATGGTTGGGCTTTAGGAAGAGCTTTTTATTTATGTGTCTCGAACAGAAGAAACAATGACCTTTATTGATTCTTCAAGTAGTAACATTAAGTATAAAAGACTATATCAACAATTTGCTATGCTCTGAACATTGCCAGCAGTGGCATCTTGGGAATCCTAGAGGAGAGGCCTTGGGGTCATTGAAATCAAAGTGTTTTTCCCCTTGGGAGTATAAATGTGCTTAACATTTTTCATGGTAACCTGCCTATTAGATTAGCACAGAGGAAACCTCATAGTGTTCGTAAAGATTCATCATACTAAATCAATATCTTACAAAAGTTTTTGAACAGAGAAGCTGACCGTGAGACATGATGAAAGAAATTTCATGACACAAATCAGTTTGTCTTTTACACTTCTTAAAAAGGTATTATATGACTATTGCTAATGAAAATGCAAACCAGGTATTGTATATGATAGAAAGGATTGTGACATACGTTTCTCACGTTTAGAGTCTCTTGTTGATACTAGAGGAAAGTTTATAGTAAGTCCAGCATGTGGGTTTACTCTCTGCAGAGAATGAATGTCCTCAATAAATGTTCCATTTAGATTCTTCTGTTTTTTTTTTTGCCCAAGTGGAAATGTTGACCCAATGCTGGTGCTTGACATAAGCTGAGTGGGTCACAAATGAAACACAATTCTAAGGCCATTCTGTTGATAGTGGGACAAAAAGTAGTTAAAAATCTTAACAAGAAACCAAATTAAATTTAAAGATGAAAAAAATGATGGGACATTTTCTGGAACTTTTAGAATTGATTCAATAGTAATTATTTTATGCTGACAGATGCTGGCTACATTATAAGTTTGCGTGTGTCCATTATGCTCTCGCCAAAACATCTGTCAGTCATATGGGTAGAATGTTTCTATGTGTTTCATTTCCTCTGTGTGTATGTTTAGTGTATACAATGTGTAAGTGGTGTGTTTCAAACTGTATGTGTCTGTGTGTCTTTTTATCTTAGTGCCTCAGGGTCTTACCATCACGGCAGTGTCCTCATTGAGTGAGGGTTCAGTCTCTGTCGGTTGGGGGCCGAGGGCTGAGTCACTGCTGCTTCTCACCAACAGGGGGGTGTCTGTAAAAAGGACACACACACATCATATATGTGCAGGTATCTTTGAGCCTACTCGGACGAATACCTTAAGAAGGCATCAATGGCAAATATCCACAACATGATTCAAAGTCACGAACTGCATATGAACGACCTTACAAACATAATTGTGCAGCTAGGAGGAGTTGAAAAGGATTACTTTAAGCAAAAGCAGAGATGTGTGTGTTTATACAGCACGTCTGTATACACTGGATAACTGCTAAAAATGTTTAAAGTAGATGTTCTACAACCTGTAAATCAACCACTTTTTCTAATTCCTTTGTTTACAGATGGTATGTGCAGAGGGGATTTAATGACATACCACCAAACATTAACTAAACAGCAGTTTTAGCAGCAGAAAATTAATGTGACTTACAACAATATTAATAACTCCCAATTCTAAAATGTAATTTCATGGTTGTTTTTTGTTTTTTTTAATCCACATTAAATCTGCTGTATTTTCTTTGGTTACCCTTGATAAAAAACAGGGGAACCTGGCTCTCTGACAGTCCAATATGACACAGCGTGACTACTTCCTATGAGACTGTTAATGGAACAAGAGATATGGCGGAGAGGAAAGAATAATGCAAGAATGGTGAGAAAATAGAAAGTCTGCGTCTGCACTGCTTCAGAATTTACAGCCAGTCTTTGATACATGCACAATATGCGTGTATACACACACAAACACACACACGACTGCCTTAAAATCGCTAATGCTATTTTGATGGAGTCACAGTTCAGCAAAATTCATGTCTAATAATAATCTTTTAGATGACAAGATACAGGCCCTAAGCCACACTACAGAAAGGAGTTTGAATGTGTTTCGTTATAAGTGTCAAAGCATGATGAGGAACAAAGAGAGGAGAGATGAATATTTTTTTATGTTAAGTTGACAAAATAAATTTCCACTGTCTCATTGCAATGTGCCTCTGACTTCAGTCCAAGTCAGTGCGCTTTCAAACAAAACAGCAAGACATCCCAACATTCAGTACAATAAAAAAGAGAACACAATGCTTATCATAAAATTTGTTTAGGCATAATCAGTAGGATTTTCCTAAAAACAATTATTATTATTTTGCTGTGTTTGTGAAGTTCCTGGGTGTCAACTTTTTGGCCAGCATGCAGGGTGTGAGGTCAGGACTCTATAAAAACATAGCAACCAGGTTACGCTGCTGTCTCCACCTCTCTTCTCTACTCTCTGTCTGTGTCATGGATGTATAAAGAGCTGCGGGTCTGTTTGACCGAGGGCATACAGAGCAGAGAGAGGATACAGTGGACAGGATGAAGCGTGTTCTTAGCTGTATCACACAAAATACAGCAATGTGGCGCCTTCACAGGGTTGTGCAGAGGCATGGTCATGTTTAATTGTGCTTTAGAACGTAATCGCCCTGAAACAATCAGAAAACAACGTTAAATTTCTGATTTGCTTTGTTCTCGCAAATGCCGCTCCCTCTCTTCATTCACTCTGTAGCTCACTGAGCCACTGCTGCTATCTCTTGCTCGTTGAGCCAGGGAGGTGTACTGTATTGTATTAAACATAAACATAAATGTGTCTACATATCCATATGTATTTATTGGGGCAGCTGCAGATTTGAAATAGGCAAGCCTTTCACAACAACAGTACCTAGAACTAATCTAAGACAAAGCTTATTTTTAAGAGAACCATATTTCCATGGAAACTCACATACATTTTTAACTTAAAATAAAAAATGAGACAGTGTGAGGACTGGTGGTAAGTGGATAGAAGATAGAAACAACAAGAAAAGAAAGCACGATCCTTAAATATTCACCACAAATAAAATGTATGATTTAATTAGTACTTCTTTTAATCGTCTAAACTCATCAGCAAGCACAGCCTTCATGTATGTATGTCCATATCTGTTGATTAAATACTGATTAAAACAGTGTAATTAGAAAGCTCATTCCTAAATGTTGTTTTGGAGATGTGTGAATGCATCGCTCCATATATTCATTAGGTATGTAAGAAGCCGATCTGACAGCCTGAGCGTGCGAGAGGTTAATGTGTGATCCTTTCCTTTAATGACGCTTCAGTGAACACGCTGGTGTTCATGCGTCCCAATGGCCAATAAGTGGCTGATTTGCAGATCTCTGCGTGCATGTAGGTAACATATGATAGTGTCTCCCTCTTCACATCTCATCAGCCCACTGCATAAAATCATCATTTACCAGAAGCTGATGGATGAAGCACACCACACTATTGCCTGTGCTGGAGCTTGACGAAATAGTGAAATGGTGAGAAAAGTCAACACTGCAGAAAGCTCTGCAAATAAATAATATTTATTATTGTAGGTTTTATTATGGTCTGTGTGGTACTATGTCAATCCTCATATCTATCATCCACATTCATAGGTCCCATCAATCCATATATACATTAAGAGCACTGTCATGTTAGCCTCTATAGTTCCATTGGGAATAAAACAAAAAGGTGGGGTGAGGGTGGAGGAAACCTTTAAATGAGTGGACTACTCAGAACACATGCCAAATGATATTTGTAGGGTCATATATTGATTGTCACAAAATGGACCCTTGGTGCTCTTAAGACTGGCTGGGGGTTATGGATTACATGAAACCCTAATCAATTCATCTCTTCAAAGAAAGGCAATGAGAGGAGGGAAAAATAGATAGAGGACAAAAGATGCACAATGAGAAACAGATGGAGATAGGTAAAGAAATGAAAGGACGGACACAGGAAAAGATAGTCAGTGAGATACAAATTTGTCCAATAAAAATAAGACAAATACACAAATCAACAGAAAAATGTTAATTAGAAGACTTTTAAATTGATTATTTTATTGTATTTCACTCACTATATCACCTCCCCAGTTTTAGACTGAAGCAGGTATGTCCAGACACAAAACCAGAGATGATCTTGTAAAAAGTGTTTCATTGTATGAAAGCAGATGCTGCTGATGTCCAGTGGCACATTGCAATAGACACCAATGACTACCAAGGGAAAAAGTGCTACTGTTGTGTCCATATGCCCGAAGGTATTCAAAGATCAATACTTGCAGAAAGCAATTTCAGTTTTAGATCACCTAGTAATCCCCACTAGCCTTTGTTTCCCTGCAGTAATAATACTATATAGAGATAGACTATATGTCAATATAGTATTGATAGCATGATAAGCTACTGAATACTTTGTTGCAGTTCAGTTATACATATGTCTGTGTTGTGTGATCAATTAACAATAAATGCTGCAACATACTCATGACTTTCTCAAGATTTTACTAATGGTAAATATCTTTAAAAAGCAAATAATAAAAACCATTGCATGGTTGTAATAAAGGTAGGAATAGCACAGGCGTTACTAATAACGTTAACACAGTAAGCCATTGTAATGTTACAGCGAGCTAGTATGAGCAATATCAGGACCCTGAAACTCGAGCAACTAAATGTAATTCAGCAATAATTCATTTTATTTACACCTGTGCTTTTACCACTCTGACATGTCAAAATGTCTTTTGTGAAAAAGGTCTAAATCAGACTTTGTCAAAATAATGCAGCCGATGCATGACAATGTGTATATAACATACAGTATTTGACATTTCTGCATCCCTTTCATTATGCAAAAAACTTCTAGTCACAATAACAATTAAGGCAGCTACATGAGTCATGGTCTGTAGTACTCAAAAAACCACTATAATCAGAGGCCTCTGACTACAATGAGAAACCCTTCCCTGTCCATAATGCTGATCAAGTATCATTGTGAATTACTTCACTTTAATTCTTATTCCTGAGTAGTGGTGCTCATCAACTATAATATACCTCTGTTTCTGAGTCCTTCATGAAGATTCAAGTGGGAAACACCATGTGAGCTAGTTGTTAATATTGTGCCTAAAATATGCACCATGTAAATGACACGTTTGGGTTTCATTACTAATTATCTGAATCATCCAAAGTCATTAGCCAGCGCAGACTAAGACCTTTATGTGTGTATGTTCATATGTATTGATCATAAACTATGACAGTGTCATCAGAAAGCTCAATCCTAAATCCCTAAAAGGTACAGAAAACTCAGCAGTAGAGAGACAGAGCACACAAGGGAAGTCAGATAAATCGGAAGTCTGTTAACAAAAACTGGAAAGCAAAGACAGAAAAAGACAGTGGGAAGCAGCAACAATGAACCGTAGAGAAAAGGGGATGAGACAGTGAGAGAGAAACAACTGGTTAGAGTCAGAGGTAAAACATTAGACAGTGATAGAGGCCTAAATCTGGCCTTCTTACACTGACAGTGATACTCAACAGAGCTCCGTTACCTCTAATCTACCATGACAGTCACACATTACTAGTAATCTCGGCTGACAGGCGACCATACTGAAACAGACTAAACTTCCTGTCTTAACAGTGTCTGGATCATACAGTTAATGTCCCTGCACGACTCAGGAAGGTCAAACAAGCTGAAATGTCAATTCTCTTCTCAGTAACACGAATGCGAGACACATGATTTTTGCTGTAACATATACAGTATGTGAAATTAGAGCTAATGCAAGAAGAGGAAAATAATATTACTGTGCTGATTGTGCTCATGATTTTTGATTCAGCGTTGAGTATCCATAAACTGCTTAACATCCTTCAAGCTCACTGAGAAATTTCAATAGTATCATCAAAAACAACAATGGAAAATAATGAAACTTGCTGACAGAATGCAACTGACAATAGATGGAGAAGCATTATCACAGTTCATTTGACATATTAATGACATTTTGAAAACAACCTTGACTGATTATGTTTAAATGTCAAGCGTTGGATGGTACAGACTGTGCAAGAAAGCAGATATAGAGTCTACAATTCATAACTAAAGCAAGTGGAATGATTAACTGGCAGCAGGAGGCAACTGGAAGTAATGCATAGGTTTTGGCGAGCTGTCGGTACACACAATCCATCACACACGGTGGTGTTGTGTTAAGGCAAAATTAAATTTGGGCAAGTTACTGTGACAGCCCTAAGCCCTCTCACACTCACATCTACGGCGCCTCTACTGAACAGCCACTTGACTTGAAATAAGACAGAAAGAGATGAAGGAAAGGAGAGAAAGAGGGACCAGGAAAGAGAGGAAGAAAGGTCATTCAGATAGGTCTATTCCAGGTAACAGTAAGCAGACACAGACATCAGTTTGTTCTGCTGCTTGACATTACACATACACTTCCTGTCTTCTCTTTCTTCTGCTTCTCCTCATCTGATTCTCTTTCATCCCCATCTCATTCTGCATCTCTTAGACAGTGCTGCCAACATTTCAGCTGTCCTCATCTTGTTTTCATCACTGTCCTGCCAAAAAAATGGCCATCACATCCTGACCTTTAGCTGTACGGTATTTCAAAGTTAATATCATTCCTATTGTCTACAAAACATATGTAGCACAGCTCTGAAATAAAGAATATATGGTAACAAATAAGCCATTATGCAATCTCAAATGTGTACTACTTCATTATTTCTTAATTTCTTCTTTGCTTCAATTTACAGACTATTAATTTGAGCCATCGATTCATCTTTTCAAAATAGTGTTTTAGGACTTCATTACAGTCCTTCACTGACTTGGCCTAGCAGTCAACCTCCAGAATTTCAGCCCCACTGTTTGACATCAGTTGTGACACTGACGCTCTTTATGCATTGACCTTCAGGTTACACCTAAGGGGTAAAATCCCCAAATGACTTTTTTTCTTCTCTTTGAAACAGCATTTAGTGTGTCACTAAACATTAGAGTTCCAGTCCCAGAAGCAGAGTAGGGATTACTTCCAAGGTGCATGGAGTGGGGAAAAAGTCAGAAAAGGTCAAAAATCCAGCAACACAATGTTGCTGGAGTTATGACTTCTTTATAACAGTGTCCCAACCTTGTCAGAGTGTTTGGTCTCTCAGAGCCAGAGGGGACAGACACAAGGCGGTTTTGGTTGCCAGAGTTAACATTTAGCCCATGTTAACTCTGGCAACCACAACCGCCTTGTCTACATAGGCGCAATACTTTTTGTCTTATCTAATTTGGACAGAATTTTGTGACATGAAAATGCCAGAGCCTGTTAAGGTCATTGCTCTTACAGAGAACAGAGAGCTACTACATTGTAACTGTCATACTGTGAGAGTAAAATAGCTAAAATTAGGGATACATGATATATCAGCCAAACATCAGTATCTGCCAATATTTACCTTGATGACAATAAGTTGATATTCAAAGATATTATGGATAATGTTCTTTGTTGTGTTGCATCAATTTTGCGCTGGCTAAATTTTGTGTTTACTTCTAACTTGGATATTGGAGAAGCAATTTGTTTTCCAGCACTGGCACAAATTGTACGCAAATACCAATGTGCTACATGCACCAGCTTGGACAATGATGGCTGTGGGTGGCTGTCTCACATCTTGGATGAGAAAAGAAATAGACTGAGCTACAACAAGTCAGACATTGTAGATTTCTTTGTTTCCCAAAGGGCAAATAAATAACAACAAAAGAACATCGGCATCTGCCAAATTGTTATTTTAAACATCAATATCAGTCCCACATTTCCCAATGGTGCATGCCTAGTTTAAACCAAAAAATTTTAAAAGTAAAGTGTATGCAAAGAATAGCCACTAAATGTCAACATGTAAATCTTACAAATATCAAAATGTAGCTCTGAATTACTTCAAACATTAAGACTAAGATTTGATTTTAGGGGCATGCATTGTTTAAAAAGAGGGGGAAATGTCATGTCAAGGTTGGCAATATCAACATAAATATACATTGAATAAATGAAAAAGGACTTACTAGACTTGAGGGCTGAGGAATTGACTTCAATTTCGCCTCCTGTGATTGGCTGGAAGACAGAGAGCTCAGACTGGTAGAGGTCTGGACTTGGGGCGAGGCTTGTGTTAGCCACACCCCTCTGCTGGGCTTCCTGCTCCTCATACACCGCCATCAGCTAAATAGAAAAAGAAAAAAACAACACACGTTATTAGTTATTTTTTCTTTCCTAAATTTTTCTTCTGTTCTTTTCAAAAGATAAGATAAGATAGACTTTATTAATCCCACTACTTGCAACAGCAGCTCTAGATACAACACAACAGATAAGAAAACACAAGAATATGGAATAGAAAAACACAAGATACAATGAAAATAGAAGAATTGGAATTAGACTTCTATGTACATTATATGCAGCTTTTTATATATAGATGGACAACCATTATGAACTCAGTATTCGATCAGCAGAGCAGCAGGAATTATATTAAAATATTCTTATATAACTCCACTCAGTCACTCCAGGTTTTCTATTTGCTATTCCCTTCTCTCCACTCACACTGAAAGAAAAGCACTCCAATTTTCTTCATTCACTGCCACTCAGTTACATCATCCAGTACAATGCAAAGCAAAATTTAGAAAGGTAACATAAATGCATACAAAGTTAAAGGAATATGCTAACAGAGGCAACCATTTTCAGATCCAACCTATGCAGCACCACTACAAACAGCCTACTTAAGACTGGGGCCATATTTTCCACTCATTAACAGCTTTATTACTTCAGTTATAGAATATGCACACACAAGAACTAAAGGAACAGCTTTGTAGCTAATGTCAAGACTTCAATACACCCCACTGGTCGCATTTCTTTAAATGAAGCAAGAAAAAACATGTGTTCAGAAAATTGTGTGGCATTGTTTGTACACAATTTCTGTGTTACCTTGTGGATGAGGACGCTATAGAGGACGTCCAAGGAGCCCAGCATTCCTGTGACAGAGTGCGTCTACTCTTGAACAACTGCCTCCATTCGTGTCTCCCCTTTGCCTCTGTGCAAAACCCTGCTAGCTCTAACTGTGTTATATAGTGGAATCCCTGTCTATTGAGTTTTGCACTGAGTCTGCGTTTAGCCTAACATAGCACAGAGCTTGTCAACACAGTGTTCTAGGGGCCTCCATGTAAAAGCTGAATAGACGTGCATGTGTGTGTCTTTATGTATGTGTGTGTGATGCCTATAGTGGCTAAGAGTAAAGAAAGGGGACTTTACCAGTAAAGCCAGAGGCTTCCTGCTACACTGGAACACACAAGTGTGCAACATACTCTCTCACTTGTACAGACATAAGCATACGAATGCATGCTACTAACGGACACAAACCATATAAAAGAGCGCGCACACAGATGTGAGTCACTGCGCTGTGATTTGCTGGCTGTCTCTTCTGCACAAGAAAGCGAAAAACAACAAAGCCAACATTATGAAAATCTAATTCTAAAACGCAAAGTGATGCCAACACTAGAGACTAAAAGCTTACACAGGGGTTAATATAGACAAGTCCAGCAGGGCAACCTGATGATTAAAGCAGATTTTCACTGGAAGTTTCTTCATTGGGTTTTTGATAAATTACACTTTCATTACTCTATTTCTCTCACTCTCTTGATCCCTCTGTAGCGCTTTGTCCAAAAAAAACCAAAAGAAATGCTGGTGGCACTTGTGTCAGAAGGAAACTGAATGTTGAGGCACTTATTCTTGAAGGGTTCTCTTTGATATACTGGCTTGGATTGTACCTCATTTGCACGTTGCTTTGGACAAATGCGTCTACCAAATGAATACATGTAAAAGCTCCATAGTGATACTGAAACGTTTAGTTTAGCAAGAAAATTACAGAAGTCCCAAAACAACTATGGAGCGTTTTGTGTGCTTTGTATCTATAATATTACATGTAAATATAATAATATCAATCTTGCATCTCCCATGACCTTGCTGGATTAAAAAAAAGAGATTTCATTATACCCATGTAAATGTTTTACTTGTTTTCAATTTTCTAATAAGTGCGTAGATATACATACTACATATGTGCACTTTCTTTCCATAATAACCTCACCAGGCTGAGAGATGGGATCGACTTATACAATATTGCACTTTTCTGACCCAGTCCCTATCCACATCTCACCAACTATTCAGCCCAACGATGCCTATCTCACACTTTCATGTTATCTCACACTCCCTTCCATCTAACGTGCAACTTTCTCATTGTCTAGTTCTATCTTTCCGCTTATAACAAACCTCATCTGACTTTTATACCTTTTTTTGCTCTTTCCTTCTTACTTGCTTGTTTTTTTACTTCCCCTTTTTTTTAATACTTTCCTCATCCGGTACCCCCTCTTCTGTCTCAATACTGAATTTACACCTTTCTGTCATGATTATAAAACCTTGCTATTGTTATGTAACCACACCCCCTTTAATTTGACAATGATTAGTTAGAAGCATTCGTTACTTTTCTGTCAAGCTGTTTTGGTGCAAACCTTTTCTAATTATTGTCCAGCAGCATCCTGCAGGGATGGCAATGAAGCAGACATGAAAAAAGGTGGATACAGAGGTGGAGATGGGAAGAGGATAAAAAAAAAAATACCCAAAATTGACTTATTAATAAAAATAGCTAACATTCTTATTGACTTTACAATAAACTGTCTGTTAGTGAAAGTAGAACAAGACTAATAGGTCTGAGATAAACAGCGGGGACTGAGATTCTTAAAAAAGAACATCTGAAAGAATGAGAGGAAGAAAAATGGGTAGACAAATTCAATAGCCTTGCTGAGTCTTTTAAAAAGCAGAGGTGGAAATAAAGAAAAGATAGCCAGATGAGAGGGAGAAGAACTTGGGGCTCTGTTCTCTTCGACAGGGGACTCAAAGACCTGCCAAACAAAATGACACCGCTGCGTGAGCACGAGAGAGAGAGAGAGAGAGGGGTGAGCGTAAGACAGAAAGGTGAGACTGCATAGAGCGAGAGCACAGAGAGAGACACAGAGAGAAATGGCCATTGAGAATGTGAGAGACAGAAGTGGAGAGAGAATTATAATGATAGTAATGAGGGGGACTGACAGATGTCCTGTACTGTAAAAACCTTGTCAGAGAGAAAGAGCAAAAAGCAAACCTGAAACTTGAGATTGGCTAAGTGTCACCGTGTCAAGTGCCAGTGCAATGATGTGTCCATTTTCAGCCAAATGCAAAGTTACATGTTGCCCACTCTGACCCTGTTCCTCTTACGCCGCAACCCTTTTTTCTGGCCTCAAGATTAGTGCTTTATTGTAGGCTTACAAGATGTTTCCATGTAGACACCAAATGTTTTTCAGCCTTTAAGAAATAAGTTAATCATTACTTTTAGCAATTGAGCACTGCTACCAGCGTGCATCTCCCGTCATGTCGTAAATGTAACATTTAACTTTCTCATCAGCTATCCTGTCACCAACCTTAACAAACTCAAAGATAACGATGCTAATAAACATCTGATTTTTGTTTTTCAGTTTCAGCTTACTGTCAAAACACACATTTTACTTTGTTGTGTTGCTGACAACCTCATGTAGAAATGCCTTTATCCATCAGTGAGAGTGAATACTTGAGCTCAAAAAATGCATCCGTGTAAGGAATAAGGCTTCATTATGTCTTCATTTGGGTTTGAGAAGAAGTACAGAACAGGGATTGGCTATGACATATGAAACTGGTTTCTTGTGCCATTTTGTTGTTAATCTTGAGTTTGAGTGTCTAGCTTACCGGTACCGATACCTTGACTTTGACACTGGTTCCTGAAAAAGTCCTTTTAAAAATGTTTTCGATATCAATTTCATAAAGTTCCTTTTAACAAAATAAAAATTATATTAGATATTGCAGCAATTACTCACGTCAAATGAGAACCTGTTCAGAGACCGAAACAATTCAGTTGGTGCCGTTTAAGTATTGAAGTTTGGTACCCAGCCCTACTTGGGTGGACTGCAGCCTATAAACATGTTCACACTCACAGCACATGGCACACATAATACAATAAATGTATCATGATGTGCTACATTTCTTAGGATTATATATCATTTTACAAGTGTTTTTAAATCTAAACAATTTTATAAAAACACACTGAGATCACTTGGGGACTGTTTATTACAGTGTCCTAGTATGTTTTGCCAAATTACAAAATGTCCATAACTCAACTACAGATTAATTTAGTTTAGCTTTAATTAAAAGCACATATGGAAACCCAGGGTTAAACCCTAAAGCTAGCAAAAACTTTCCCCCTTAAGGTTACTTTTAAGCTCTCTCTCCATCCCTTCTCCACTCCCTACGCTGGGTGGTCAATACAAGGTTTACACAGGTTACCTAGGACGAGTGGAGGCTAGCATGTGAGTGTGAGTGAGAGTGTGTGTGTGTGTGTGCGTGTGTGTTGGACTACCTGACCTGAGAGCATGGATCAATGAAAGGTCTGACCCAATAGGCCAAAATCAAACACTTCCACTCAGACACCAATACACCAATGACACATTGGTCAAGTTTGGAGTTCTAAATGCTTGTAAAATTGAGGTTAAATTTGAAAATAACATTAACATTTTTTCAAAGATCTATTGTTTTTAACTCACCACCATGAAGCACCTGGGGGCACTGTGTTGAAGCAAGGTGCTACATCATTCTAGGCAAAATTGCCAACAAAGATTAGCCAACTTTGTAAAAAGCAGATGCTCTAAAACGGCAACCAATTTAGAGGACACACCTGCCAGCTTGCCGCGGAAGTAAGACAATGGAGACACCTCAAACGTGTGAGTAACTTCATCTGATTGCCTATTTTTTTCGCTAAACTGTGCCACTCACAAATATTTTAAGTTTTTGTGTAGCCAAAAATTTGGACCAACTACCTGTAGCTAAAGGATATACAGCACTTTAGCTCCTAGAGTTGGAGTGACCTGAGATCAAACTAAACTCCATGGAACAATAAGAATGATAAAGGGGAAACTGTAAGACAAAATAAAATAAAAAACAAAAAGGCTACTACTTTGCCCCAGCAGAACAGGTGCTACAAAGCTGAGAGAGTGAGGGAGATGTCAATCCCACGCAGGCTGGAAAAGAGGTTTAATTAGCTAAAAGTGAAAACACCTGTGTGATTGGACGGACCAAGAGTGTGTAAAGGCCAACTCTAAGTGGGAGTCTGATAT